ATGTTAACTGAGGTACACGTGGTATTGCTTGGACCAATAAGAATTGACTTTGTGGGGCTAGCCAGGTGGCTCAGTTGGTTAGAGTGCTAGCTCTGAGCAGAAGGGTTGTTGGTTCGATTCCCACATGGGCCAGTGAGCTGCGCTGGAGCTGAGCTGCCACTGAGCTGCCAACAGGCGACCGGATGGTTCAGCTGGTGAGAGCACGTGCTCTTAACAACGAGGTTGCCAGTTCGACTCCCATATGGGATGGTGGACTACACCCCCTCACAACTAGATTGAAAGTGGCAACTGGACTTAGGGCTGAGCTTATGCCCTCTACAACTAAGATTGAAGGACAACAACTTGACTTGGAACTGATGGGTCCTGGAAAAACACAATGTTCCCCTTCCCCAATTTCCTAATAAAATCTTTAAAAAAAAAAATTTACTTTGTGTTCCAAGAATATGAGATAATGTCAGAGTTTTAGATTTCATTAATGAAAACATAAAATAACCTTGCAATAAAATTTATGAGGCTGACTTCATCTACCCCCACACAAACACTTTGCAACATGTTGTTAATTTTAAGCTATCCACTAAAAACACATCACAACTTTACAATCCATGTTTTAAATGGATGGCTGACATACAGCCTTTGACAACATTTAGCACTTTATAGCAATACATTAAGGCTAACTTTAGAAACTATAGCATAATGAAATTTTACAGCCAATTAAGTTGATGAGTCACTGTCAGCTTCCTAAATTCCTCTTTTCGATGAAAGAGAGATGCAGATATAAGTGAGGAGCAAATTAATTTCTGAAGATTTTTAAGTGTCATCATGAGGTTGGAGTGTTAGGGAATGGAAAAATACATTGTCTAAACAGTCTGAAAAGAAATCAAATAATTTCTTTTTGAATTTAGAAATGGTGATAGCATTTAGTCTTTTAGTTTGTCACCATTTACTTACATTGATAGAAAAAAGACTTATAGTGTCCACTGACTCATGGGTCACAATAGTCACTAGAATGCCTTCTGACCTTTACTTTAAAAGAAAAAGATGTGCAAAGTTGGACGTATTTAATATTCCCTCAAACTAACTGGAGTTTATAACTAGTCAAGAAAATAGTTTGACTAGTGAAAATTGAAATATTTCCGTCTAATAAGATGGTGTGGTATTTGAGAATTAAAATAAATCCACTATATATTAAGTTGATTTTCTTAAGGAGACTCCAAGGAAGAGGATATCTTTTAATTTGAGGCATCTCTATGAAAGTTTATCAGGAAGGCGTTGTATGTAACTTTACCCCAATTGTTGAATGCTCAGAAATATACAGATTGATAAGGAAGTTGCAGTAGAATTATAATAAAATCATGATAAATAGAGAACATTTTGGGATAAAGTAAACTTAAAAGCATGAAATATTAATGCACACCTAGCTCTAACATATATTCCATGGATTGTGGGAAATTTCAAAATTCCTTAATGTTCTCATGGCCATTACTTTCTTGAAATCAATTTAGCTTGGGCATTTTCTGCCAATTCTATGCCTGCTGAAAACACTCTACATTGTAGTAATGGAGACATAGAAATCCTCTCTTTTCCTTTACAGTCCATAAAAGAAAACATTAGATAAGCAAGTAATAATGTTCACAGAAGGGATGTGAGAGAGTGTGTGTGTGTGTGTGTGTGTGTGTGCGGCACAGAGATTTGCAGAGTAGCAGTACAAACAACATGACCTGGAATGATAGTGCTATAAACTGAATGTTTGTTCCCCGCCCCACCATAATCATAAGCTGAAAACCCTCCCCTCTAATGTGATGGTATCAGGAGGTGGGGCCAGTGGGAGATGCTTAGGGTTGGATGATGTCATGAGGGTGTAGTTCTCACAAATGGGATCAGCACCCTTATAAGAGTCACAGGAAAGCTTGCCCCCTCTCTGCTCTCCTCTCTATGATGACAGAACAAGAAAATGGCCGCCTGCACCTGGAAAGGGAGCCCTCACCAGAACCTGACCATCGTGAGTCTGGACTTCTAGCCTCAAGAACAGTGAGAAATAAATTCCTGTTGTTTACAAGCCACCCAGTCTATGGTACTTCATTGTAGCAGCCCAAAGTGACTAAGACAGATTTCTGTGCTTTGAAATTACAGATTTGTCACATCCCCAGTGAGGAGACTCAATAAGTCTGCAGGTGCACTGAGAAATCTGTGCCTGAGAAGATAACCAAGAATGGGAAAAACTGCTCTGGGATGCAGAGTCTTCATTTTCAGTTATCGAGTTCAGTGATGCAAAAATAAATGAAACACAAGAATCTCCATATAGACCTAAGGACCTACCCTAAGAGTTGTTATTTCAGTCTAATCTCAATAAACTTCCTTGTCATTTGCCTCTTTTTTTACATAAGCAACCATGCTGGTATGCTCAGGTCTGTCTAGGTTTTGGTCATATATCCTGAGAAACTGTTCAGTCCTGGACTAATCAGAGCAACTGGTCACCAGATAAGGTCGTTAAAGAACTGATTGAATCCTTTTGGCTTCTGTGACCATTCTTCAGTATTTATTCATGAATTGTCTATTTCATGGTTAAAACTGTGGGTGAGAAATTTTAGGCAGAATCTGAAAGGGCTGTTTTCACAGGTCACTTGATGACATTCTGAGCATAAACAGTACTGTCCTAGGAAGCAGGAGGCAAAGTGCCACACAGACATAGGGAAAGGACAGTGTCCTGAGATCTGCATGGATCTTATCTTAGAGCACACAGCTAGGGCAGTATTAAGGAGACAGTATACCTTTTGGCATCTTGGAGATGTTCTTTGGTAGATCTGCACTCTCTCTTTGTGCTCCCAAACCTGCAAAACCATCATTAGGAGATTTTTAGGGAAACTGATATAGTTCTCTCCAACAATAGCCTGATTTTATATCTATTGAGTTTGACATGGAAGTAGGCTATGTAGAGATATGGTAGGCAACTGGAAATGTGGGCTGGAAGTTAAATGATGGGAAAGTCCTAGAAAACTAATTGTCTAGAAAGCTAGATTCCAAAATGAATTCAATTGGTTAAGTTGATCTAATGATTTGGACTCTATAACCAACATTTTGGATTCCGATTTATATTTCTAGACCATAGAAATCACAATAGTTGAAGGTGTTGAGAATGAATGAATTTTGAGGTTGGAGGGAAAACTAGGACTCGATCTTGGGGAATGGAAAGTTGGCCATCAAAAACATTAAAAAAAAAGGCATTTGGAAAGGGAGAACCAGAATTTAGCATCACGGTAGACTACAGGGAACAGCACCAGTCAATAGAATTTTAAGAGTCAGAGTGTAACAAGTGATTGAGACCACAGGAAAAAAGTATTCAATGACTGGATGAATTAAAATGAATGAATTGACCACTACATTTGTCTAGAAGAAAGTCACTGGTTTTATCAGTGTGTAAACACCCAAAGGAAAAAATAATCATTTTAATTCAACTCTTGAAATTTAGAGGAGATAAGCAGTAGTGGGAAGAAAAGAAATATTTGTTGAATTTAAAGACTATCTGTTAAAGGTTACTAACTGACATCCATGAGAAGGTTGAATGTGCTTGGTTTTGGACTCTCTGAGCGTTACTTGGTATATAAGGTTTGGGGGGGGGGTGGAAATGAGAGGAGGTCCTTTTGGTCCCCCTAGTAAGCCCTCAGTATCCTTTCTGTAATTTTTGTGTATGTGCCCAACATTCTTGTCATCTACCACTTTTTTTTGTCTTTATCTGGGGATTTAGAGAATGTTGTGCTTTGAGTCCAAGACCTGGGGATGGTTCCTGTATCTGCTCTATGCATCCTAAGTGAATTCACCTCCGTGTGACTCGGTTTCCTCATCTTCACAATAAGAATGTTGGATTATAACTAATTATATATCACCTAACTTTAACAACAAATTTATCTTCCATTTTTATTTCTATGCTTCTATATTAAATACAATATGTATTTTATATTTAGCTAAAAATAATCCCCAAAGCCACTTCTCAGATCTACTTATGCCTAAACATAGGAACAATTATTCTGAATGACATTCATTTTGAGAGCTCTACATCTTTTTAATAGAAAATTAAAATAGACAATTGATGGGGATCTAATATGCAGCATGATGACAATAGTTAACAATACAGTACTGTCTCCTTGAAATTTACTAAGAGTTTCGATCTTAAAAGTTCTTACACAAGGAAAGAAAATGGCAACTATGTGAGGTGATGGATGTGTTAATTAACTTTATTGTGTTAATCACTTTACAGTATATATATGTATTGGGTTGTTGGAAAAGTCATGATGCACTTTTGCAATGAAAAACATAAAAGAAATACGTCATGACTTTTCCGACAACCCAATATATTGAATCACCACGTTGTACACCTTAAACTTACACAATGTTATATGTCAATTATAGCTCAGTAAAGCTGTAAAAATAAGAAAAATAAAATAGAAAAGTGAGTTCAAGAAGAAAATAAATTGAATGATTTTACTAAAGATAACCAGGTTCACTTAAGGAAATACTGTCATTTAATATTTACAAAAAAAGGCTCCCAAATAGAGCACATTCAAAACAAGAACAGACCTGACGGACGGGGCACTGACTTTGGGCCACTAATTAAATGATAGTCCTGGAGATGAGGTTGATGAAAAGAACGTCTACCCGTTTCACTTAAGAGATCAAGTCACTACCGAAATGTTACGTAATTACCAGAATGTACAACATAATGGGACTCAATAAGGTAGAAATAAAGATAATACAACTCTCTGTCCTTTATTTACCTTATATCTTTTTGGTGCTAATGAAATAGTTTCAGTGGTTTCCAAATGAAAAAATTCAACACCCCGTTTAAAAACCCGACATGATAAGTGCAGGACTAAAATAATCGGGAGTAAAATCAAACAGTTTTTTCTCACTAGGTCTGCCTCAAGTGATGGAAGTCTTAGTCCTCCTGCCATCTTTTCGTGAACTCGAACAGTGCCCCATGGATGGTTTTCCTTTTTCCTTTGCAGGGCTGGAGCGAATTGCACGGGATTCATCTTATGAACAGGAAGGGAAGGTCCAGTTTGTAATCGACGCAGTGTATGCCATGGCGTATGCCCTACATAACATGCACAAAGACCTCTGCCCTGGGTACATTGGCCTGTGCCCACGAATGAGTGCCATCGATGGGAAAGAGCTGCTTGGTTATATCCGGGCTGTAAATTTTAACGGTAAGTTACAACGATTTTTTTTTTTTGGTCTCTCAATACTTCCGAAGAGATGATATGCTCTTTCCCCCATATATAGAAAATGCTCAACAGGATTCGAAACAGTTCCCCTTTGGATCAGAAGTGTGAGTTTTTTCCACCTGCTGTTAAATCCCAAACATATTTTTCTTGTGCTACTCTTAATCTGCTCCTGAAAGATGCAGAAGTTAAAAATAAGCTCTACCAATCAAAATAGTCTACTTAAATGACACTATTTCAGAAATAACTTTGAAACCATTGGCGACAGATTAGGTTTCTTTGAAAATGTGTTGTTCATGCCGTTATTAGAGAAGGAACTGTGGACATTTTGGTTTGAAGTGGATTTTAAGTGTTTTAAGCAGCACATTGGCTTGAGGAAAGTGAATAATTTGGAGTTGCTAGATATTTACATTCTAAGAGTGCTGTGTTATGCTTCTGCATGTTCTTTTTCCCTGTATTTCATTCAATGATTTGGTCAATTTGAAGCAATGAGCTGCATCGTGTAAGATAGAACTACGTACAATGAAATGGACATGGCATTTGCCTCCTGCCGAAGCAGAAATGCTGTTTCTGTGAGTGTCACAAGAAAGTGATACAGACTATGCTGGATTCATAGTATTTGGCTGAGAATAGCCACATTGCCTGTCTGGAGTGATGGAATTATTGAATGCTGTTCTTTCATGAAAGTTGTAATGGTTGCTGCCCGTGACTTTGACCATTATTTTCCAATGAAATGATAGAATGCTCGGAGCTGTCTGATTCTTTCTGTTTGGCTATAATCCACACAGTGCACATGCCTCCAAGCAAAGCACAGTGCTGCACTGTCCATCATCATACACTCCGGTGAGTTCAGCTGCCAGCCTCTCTCAAAAAAGCACAAGGTCATTTTCAATTTAGAATTCAAGTGGAAACATCTTTTGCTTTGTTCACGCAACATGAGACAAAAATTTAGTTTACATTCAACACAGAGTATTCTCTATTTCAGCAGATTTTTTTTGTGTGTGAAGCATTGTGTAACATTAATCTTTTTGTTAAGAATGAAAGTACTAAGGGGAATTTGAAAATAATTTTCTCGCAATTATCAAATTGAGCCAAAGAGGAGTGTTGCAATGCAAGGTTATTTAACCTAACATGAGATTGGGGAACATTTCATTTATCCAAATTGTTAGAAGGTGGGAGGAAGAATGCAAAGGAATATATTTTCTCAACAACTAAAGCACATCCTCAGAAAATAAGGAAATCTTTTAAAGAAGCACTGGGTTAAAATATTTTAAAGGTGAATTACCAATTACTCTTTTATCTTAACCATAGATAAAAACCTAACCCTTCCTTGATGACTTCAATTATTATACCACACTGTAATATAATGAAGCTATTAAAGACTTAAAAATGTCTTAACGTCCTACAGCTATTAAGGAAATTTGCCTCTAGACTGCAATGATTTCTGAGGTCTTCTGTCCACTTTTTATAGTTTTTTGCCCTTCTACATATCAGACTAACATTGCTGTGATTTTATTTTTTTTTTAGATTTTTCATTAATTTATTCAAGAGGTATTTATTGAACACATAGAATGTGTTAAGCATTGTGATAGGTGCTAAAGACATATTACTGGTAAAAACGTCCAAATAAGCATGAGATTTAGAGTTTCTTGGGAGAACTGAGGTATTAATCAAGTGAGGTATAATTATATAATCTGCAATGAGTGCTGGAAGGAGACGTGTGCTGAACTAAGAGTCTATAATAGGGGAAGTATCCCTACTCTAGGGAGTTAGGGATGGTGAAGTCCGAGGGAGATGAGTGTCAGAGATAAGGGTGAGGCAGCAGGTAGGGCCAGATAGATTGTCAGAGGTCATATAGGCCATTCTCCAAATTCGTTCTTCATCCTGAAAGCAGCAGGAATCCATGCAACCATGATAGAACTGTGTCTGAAACAAGAGTAAGTATACTCCACATGAGGATCATGCAACTACATGAATTTTAGTGTATAAACTTAAAACAGAATCTCTTTGAGCTCCTTGGAGATTTATTTTGCTAATGGCTTGAGACTTGGCTGTATTCCAAAAGCTGATAATACGGGGTAAGAGACCTGAGCATAAGCAAGTTATTGTGGAATACAGAATTCTCTTGATTTTCAGGATGCTTATCAATATTTTTGGTTCATTATTGGCCTATTTATTAGTGTTCATTTATTATTAATAACTTGACTGTTGATGATAAAAAGGCACATAATGTTTTTCAAATATAAGTGTGCCATCAAAACCATTGAAGGAAGAAGAAACAAATATAGTAGCCAGAGTGAATTATATTAAGTTCTCAGCTTCCTAAGCAGACAAATGTAAATGGACATTCAATGGGATATTTAAGTTTCATTATATGATGGACGCAAGCCTACCTATTTTTCAGGAGAGAATGAATTTTCTTGGAAATTATTTCTAAAAGAAATGTATCATATGGGTCTTGGACAGCCTAACAAGCAATGCTATTAAACAAAATTTTACAGCAAAAGCAGAAACCTTCTCTTGGGCTGTTCTGTGTGTGTATCCACAATCAAAGCTAAGAATGTAATGCTTGTAATACTGAATGATATTTCATTAAAATAATTTTCAGGGAGAGGGAAATGATTTTCCTTGATCTAGATTTACAACTCTTTTGAGCTCTGATATAGGCGTTACCATACTCTATTAAGAATAAATGAAGAGCATCTTCCTTATACTCTGCTTTTCAAACTCTGTCTTCAAAAGGATCCTACTCAGAAATCTAACATTTCTGTCATTTAAAATGAGAACTGCTGAGTGAAAGGGGTGGCCATCATCTCAGATATGCCACTTCTCCTGCAAGGCCCCTGTAGCTGGGAGCAGACATCAAATCCATAGATTTAAATATTCTTGCTCTTCACAGGGCTTGCCCAGAAACTGAAAACAAGCATCTGGAATTTGTTTTCTTTGTTGGAAACCTAGCTATTATATGTTGTTAACTGCATGCCAGTTGAGCAAGTTGTGCTGGAGATGGCCAGTGTTCTCACCTGGTGAGAGAGCCAACCCACTTCCCAAAGAAGTGTGAGGGGGCCATTGGCCAAACCATGGTTTCCTTAGGATTTGTTTTGAATCCCCTGAAGAGTTGAGAATATGCTTGACTGACCCAGAACTGCTTATTATACAGGACAACAAAAAAATTATTGTATACTACAAGTTTTCTCAGCATAGAAAGAATGAGCTTTGTAAGGCACCTGGAAATTTTGTGCAGTGTAGCCTTCCAGATTTTTGTGTCAGGATCAGTGAGCTACAAAATGCACTCTCAAGTAATTAAAAAAAAAACCAAAGCAAAACTGACCCACTGTATGGAATTACTTAGTAATGTCCATTTAAATATTGGATGCATCTGCCCTAAAGTGTAACTTCTGTGTAGAAAAAGTTGTTGTTAAACTAGTTCTTTCTGACATTGATGAGATATCAGAACAAATTGCTTTCTGTGGTTCCTTTCAGTTTGAGATGGTAAAACCATGTTATCTGCATGGAGGGAGGGTCTTCTTCCAGTTTGTAACAGCAGGAGGCAAAGCAACTGGTTGGTGGACAGACCATTGGTATAAAATTAAAGAGAACTGTTTCAAACTCAGTCTTGCTGAGATTGTCACGTTGTGTGGGTATGCCCAATTAAACAGTGGTTTAAATATACTTGGTTTAAAAGGTCATGCTCCTAGTTAATTGTTTAATGGACAACATAAAGACCACATTAGAATTTAGAATGATGAATGATTCATGTATTAGGCCAGAATTATTCTATAACTAAACAACTAGTTAAAGGTAAAACACTTAGTCAAACGGTTGAACGCCAAAGGACTGCTTGGTATCCTAGAAGTCAACCACAATGGTGCTTTGATTGAATTTAATCACTCAAACGGATCTTTTCTCATCAATGGAAAAATGTATCTGAACCATATTCTGCACGTGTGTTTTAAGCACCATCTGAGTTATAGCATATTGGTATTATTCACGTGTTGCTTACAACTTTTCTCAACCTCTCCTCTCTACTGGGGAGACAGAGGGAAACATACACCTGCCTTTTAGGATGACTTTAATTGCTACCACTTGAACAAAATGCTATTTCTATAAATTTTTTAAATCCAAAGATTTATCAAAAGAAAAACAAAATAAAGAAGAAGTCTTCAGATATTTTTCAGGAACTGAAGCAACGATGTCAATTCCTTACTCTGGCCTGGTCTATAGGCAATAAAATATTAATACTGTACATCTTGTAGGGAATCAAAGGGTTTTCTGTTGCCATGAAAACCTTATTTATCATAAGAAAAAGTGTTGAATAGAATTCCAGGGATCTCTTCCCACTCCTTTCCTCTACAGTTGAGCTCCTGTCAGGGGCAGCGCAGGCTCCGTGGCATACTAATCAGGGCTGTTTGACTGCAGGTGACAGAAACCACCTTAAGCTTGCTTAAGGTAAAAGGAAGAATCTATGAGGGTGTGTCAAGGAACCCATGGCAGACTATGAAAGGGTCTAAGAAAGGGACTGGTTATAAGGACCTTCCAGAAATCCCTGTTCATCTGTTTTGTTTGGTTCTCTTTACCTTGGTTTCCCCTATTTCTAGGTTCACAGGGTAGGTAGCAGTAGACCATCTATGGTATTTACCTGCTGCTTGTTCAAAGCACCTGTTAAGATGAACATAATTTTTTTTTTTAAAGTCCCAATTCCAACTTCTTGGAAACTTGAATCTTATCAGCCCAACTTAGATTGGATGCCAGACCTCATCCAAAATATCAGCAGAAAGGAGCAAGCAGCACAAACTTAGCAGTCATGGAGCACTCCTTGGGGCTGAAAGGGGTCCTTTAGGAAGTTTCTGTAAGTGATTTATGGGGAAAGTTTAAACAAAGTGGGCAGAAAGGTAAAAACCTGAATCTCATTGCTTCATTAGGTGGGTGAGTCTTTGTTAAGCTCGAGGCGACATCATGACATTCAAATAGGATCTGTGGGCATCTGAGAGAGGACTGAGCTTTGGAATTATTTAATGCGAGGCTTCATTTGGTGACTGCGTTCTCTGACACCAGGAGGCATGAAGCAACTTCTCTAAACTCCGTGAGGTCGTGGTCTAACCATTTCAGTGCTCAGGATTCTAAATAAAATACAAACGCTTACCTGATCACAGAGACTGACCTAGAGAAGGAGTTTATCAGCATCTTTTTTTCTCTAGAAATCTTACTGATTTCAGAGACTGACTGCAAAATTTCCAAATATATAAT